ATAACCCTTCTACTCTTTTTGTAGAAACTCTGAGAGATAATTTTCTGTTAGAGACCCGACAGATTACAGAGGGGAGCAAACACCCAAGCCACTGGACCTCATCATAACAAACGAGGAGGGTATGGTGGCCAAACTGGAACACCTTGCCCCAGTTGGCACCAGTCACCATACAATGCTGTCATTCAGATTTAACTGTTACCTAGTTCAGGATAAGGCCAGGCCAAGGTGCAAATATTACAAGGGAAATTACAACGGGATGAGGGAAGAGATGAGAGGTATCAACTGGCCTGACTCATTAAGGCACAAGAACGCAGACACTACGCTGAATACCATAACTAGTAAAGTGACCCATTTGATCGATGAATATATACCCAAGACCAAACCCAGTGCTTCTAGGAATACGAGGAGATCACTACACATGAACCATGCGGCGGTCGACAAAGTTCAGAAGAAAACCCAGAAATTCAAGACGTGAGTTGGGTCAAACAATGAGCAGGACAGGAGGATGTATGCAAGAGCCAGAAACCAAGCAAAGATAGAGTGTAGGAGGGCTGAAAAGGAGTTCCAGAGGCTGGTTGCAAGCGAGGTCAAGTCAAACCCAAAGGCGTTTTATCGCTATACAAAGTCGAAATTAAAAACGCGAGGAGGAGTATCAGACCTGAGGCTTGAAGATGGTAGTTACGCAGATTCTGACCAGGATAAAGCTGAGGCATTGAACAGCTTCTTTTCCTCGGTGTTCACAGGAGAGGATGCAATTAACCTTCCTGCATTTGAGGACAGACTGTTCGACACAGCACTGACCCACATTGTGTTCACAGAAGAGGGTATTAGAAACAAACTGTCCAGGCTAAAGGTCCATAAGAGTCCCGGCCGTGTCATGGTGCATCCTAGAGTGCTAAGAGAGTTGTGCAACGAGCTTGCCGAGTCCCTGAAGATCCTGTTTTGTAAATGCCTGGATGAACAAATGGTCCCCAGTGAATGGAAAGTGGCTCATGTGAGTCCATCTTCAAGAGGGGCGATCGTCACTCCACGAACAACTATAGACCGGTGAGCCTAACCAGCATAATATTTAAAGTACTTGAAAGTATTAACAGAGATGCTGCAATGGAACATCTACTACGAAACAACCTTGTAAAGGATTGCCAACACGGTTTTATGCCGGGGCGCTCCTGCTTAACACAATTGCTCAAGGTATTGGATATTTTTACCCATATTCTGGAACGGGGTGGTAATATTAACAATATTTACCTAGATTTTATCGAGGCTTTCGACAGTGTACCCCACGAAAGGCTGAAAATCAAATTAGAAGCGTACGGAATTCGGGGAAATGTCCTTGCGTGGATAGAAGACTTTCTACATGACCGCAAGCGTTGTGAGGTGATTAATGGCAAGAAATCATCATCCGTACCTGTCACAAGCGGGATACCACAGGGCAGTATATTGGGCCCGCTGTTGTTTGTTAGTTTCATAAATGACATGCCTGACGTTGTACACTCCTCCAGACAAATGTTTGACGATGACGCCAAGTTATTTCGGGAAATCAAGAACCAAGCGGACTGTGAAGAACTGCAGAAGGCCCTCTGTGGGCTCCAAGAATGGTCGAAGAAATGGCTGCTGAGATTCAATGTCACGAAGTGTAAGAGGATGCACCTGGGGCGTACCAACGGTAAGGAGGCGTATCATATGTCCCAACGGGATGAAGAAACTGCACTATTTGAGACTGAATGTGAGAAGGACCTATGTGTGTATGTTGACAATGAGCTGAAGTTCTCGGGCCACTGCGAGAAGAAGGTAAACCAGGCAAATAAATTATTGGGTCTTGTAAGAAGGTCGTTCAGATATCTAGATGGTCCGTCCCTCGTAACGATCTTCAAGAGTGAAGTGCTTCACCATCTAGAGTACTGTCACCCCGTCTGGTCCCCGAGATATGCTAGGGACTGTCAGTTGGTTGAAAATGTTCAAAGGAGGGCCACCAGACTGGTGCCTGCACTTTGGCACCTCAGCTACCCTGAGAAATTGGAGCGCCTGAACTTGCCTAGCTTATACTACAGACGGGCAAGGGGGTACCTAGTTGAGGTGTATAAGCATCTCAGGGGGCACTACTCAGTTGAGTGTCCTTACTTGGAGCTGGCGGACGCTCTCCCCACAAATGGTCAAAACTCAAGATTGAAGAAGCCTCAAGTCCAGAAAACTGTGAGGGCAAAGTTTTTTGGAGTGAGAGTTGTGAACTCTTGGAACAATCTACCAGAAAGTGTTGTGACGGCACCGAGTGTGAGCTCTTTCAAGACAAGACTTGACCAACACTGGAGCGGGTTCAGGTACATTCAGGAGCCGGTGCACTCCCAGAATTTGCCAACAGTGTGTAACAGAGACGTGACCGATCGCGCAAACGGCTAACGAGCCGATCTTTTGGTGAAGAGAATAAAATAAAAGTAAAAGTAATCAGAGACGTGACCGATCGCCCAAGCGGTTAACGAGCCGATCAGTGGTGAAGAGGATGAAAGTAAAAGTAAAAGATAGTATACTCCATATGGGGAAGCACTTCACTCTTGAAGATCATTGCGAGGGACGGACCGTCTAAATATCTGAACGACCTTCTTATAAGACCCAATAATTTATTTGCCTGATTTACCTTCTTCTCGCAATGGCCCGAGAACTTCAGCTCATTGTCAACATACACACCTAGGTCCTTCTCACATTCAGTCTCAAATAGTGCAGTTTCTTCATCCCGTTGGGACATAAGATACGCCTTTTTCCCGTTGGTACGCCTCAGGTGCATCCTCTTACACTTCGTGGCATTGAATCTCAGCAGCCATTTCTTCGACCATAGCAGCCATTTCTTGGACCAAATACTACAAATGTGCGTATTTAGCATAAAAATACGGCTACACATTTGTGTATTTGGAGCCAAAATATGACTACACATGTACGTATTTGGCACCAAAATTCGTCTATACAAATGCGTTATTGGCGCCAAAATATGACTACATATGTGGTATTTGACACCAAAATACTACCCCTGTGAGTAAGGTTGTACATGACTAGCGTCAAAATATAATTACATACTGTCATGAGTGGCGCTAAATCGTAATTACCTGTGTGCATTGCCGGATTTAGGAGTGTTCTGAGAGTGCGGCGTAACAAGGCGCCACATTTTAGGGGAACCCAACTTCATAATTATATAGTAAGGAAAATAAAAGTTCTTTAGGTGTATTTTCACGATATCATTTGCTAGTTAATTTTTCCGTTGCTGTATATAGTTATTGTGTATTATAACTTGTTGTTTATGTTGAGGACAGCAGTAGAGGGCGTGTTGTTGTGTATTATAACTTGTTGTTTATGTTGAGGACAGCAGTAGAGGGCGTGTTGTTGTGTATTATAACTTGTTGTTTATGTTGATGACAGCAGTAGAGGGCGTGTTGTAGTGTATTATAACTTGTTGTTTATGTTGAGGACAGCAGTAGAGGGCGTGTTGTTGTGTATTATAACCTGTTGTTTATGTTGAGGACAGCAGTAGAGGGCGTGTTGTTGTGTATTATAACTTGTTGTTTATGTTGAGGACAGCAGTAGAGGGCGTGTTGTTGTGTATTATAACTTGTTGTTTATGTTGAGGACAGCAGTAGAGGGCGTGTTGTTGTGTATTATAACTTGTTGTTTATGTTGAGGACAGCAGTAGAGGGCGTGTTGTTGTGTATTATAACTTGTTGTTTATGTTGATGACAGCAGTAGAGGGCGTGTTGTTGTGTATTATAACTTGTTGTTTATGTTGAGGACAGCAGTAGAGGGCGTGTTGTTGTGTATTATAACTTGTTGTTTATGTTGAGGACAGCAGTAGAGGGCGTGTTGTTGTGTATTATAACTTGTTGTTTATGTTGATGACAGCAGTAGAGGGCGTGTTGTTGTGTATTATAACTTGTTGTTTATGTTAATGACAGCAGTAGAGGGCGTGTTGTTGTGTATTATAACTTGTTGTTTATGTTGAGGACAGCAGTAGAGGGCGTGTGTTGTGTATTATAACTTGTTGTTTATGTTGAGGACAGCAGAGGGCGTGTTGTTGTGTATTATAACTTGTTGTTTATGTTGAGGACAGCAGTAGAGGGCGTGTTGTTGTGTATTATAACTTGTTGTTTATGTTGATGACAGCAGTAGAGGGCGTGTTGTTGTGTATTATAACTTGTTGTTTATGTTGAGGACAGCAGTAGAGGGCGTGTTGTTGTGTATTATAACTTGTTGTTTATGTTGAGGACAGCAGTAGAGGGCGTGTTGTTGTGTATTATAACTTGTTGTTTATGTTGAGGACAGCAGTAGAGGGCGTGTTGTTGTGTATTATAACTTGTTGTTTATGTTGAGGACAGCAGTAGAGGGCGTGTTGTTGTGTATTATAACTTGTTGTTTATGTTGAGGACAGCAGTAGAGGGCGTGTTGTTGTGTATTATAACTTGTTGTTTATGTTGAGGACAGCAGTAGAGGGCGTGTTGTTGTGTATTATAACTTGTTGTTTATGTTGAGGACAGCAGTAGAGGGCGTGTTGTTGTGTATTATAACTTGTTGTTTATGTTGAGGACAGCAGTAGAGGGCGTGTTGTTGTGTATTATAACTTGTTGTTTATGTTGATGACAGCAGTAGAGGGCGTGTTGTTGTGTATTATAACTTGTTGTTTATGTTGATGACAGCAGTAGAGGGCGTGTTGTTGTGTATTATAACTTGTTGTTTATGTTGAGGACAGCAGTAGAGGGCGTGTTGTTGTGTATTATAACTTGTTGTTTATGTTGAGGACAGCAGTAGAGGGCGTGTTGTTGTGTATTATAACGTGTTGTTTATGTTGAGGACAGCAGTAGAGGGCGTGTTGTTGTGTATTATAACTTGTTGTTTATGCTGAGGACAGCAGTAGAGGGCGTGTTGTTGTGTATTATAACTTGTTGTTTATGTTGATGACAGCAGTAGAGGGCGTGTTGTTGTGTATTATAACTTGTTGTTTATGTTGAGGACAGAAACAATACTAAGAAATAGAATTTATTTTGGTAATGAAATACAACAGCAATGTTACTCCTGCCGAACACAGTTCTGGTATAACAGGAATGTCAAGACATTATCTTGATTGTAGGGCTGTTATCCCTGCTGTCATCATTGCTGCAAGAGTTATCACTGCTGTAGGGCTGTTATCCCTGCTGTCATCATTGCTGCAAGAGTTATCACTGCTGTAGGGCTGTTATTAATAGGGGCAGGTGCGAAGAAGATGGTGAGCTTGGCCAGTTACTTGGAGACACAGTGTGCTTGTTGGCCCATATCACAGCACAACATTTGCTGAGAGTCCAGACCTGTGTACTCCCAGGGGCCTCCACACATCTCGTAGTAACCGTGAACCTGTGAAACACATCTGTTAATACACCTGTTACTGTCTCCTACCACACCTGTTACAGTCTCCTACCACACCTGTTAATGTCTCCTACCACACCTGTTACTGTCTCCTACCACACCTGTTACTGTCTCCTGCCACACCTGTTACTGTCTCCTACCACACCTGTTACTGTCTCCTACCACACCTGTTACTGTCTCCTACCACACCTGTTACTGTCTCCTACCACACCTGTTACTGTCTCCTACCACACCTGTTACTGTCTCCTACCACACCTGTTACTCCTACCACACCTGTTAATGTCTCCTACCACACCTGTTACTGTCTCCTACCACGCCTGTTACTGTCTCCTACCACACCTGTTACTGTCTCCTACCACACCTGTTACTGTCTCCTACCACACCTGTTACTGTCTCCTACCACACCTGTTACTGTCTCCTACCACTGGCCGCGCTTCCTGCCACCCTGGCGGACAGTTCCCTTCGATATCACAATACCGACAGATCCGCCTAAAAAATTAGTTACACAAAGCATTTATCTCCAACACACTGCCAAATTGAGAGCTCTTGAACACATACACACTCTACAGACTGATGATAATATCACACAGACCATCTACACTGATGGATCTCTAAACACCGCCTGTGGGAGGGCTGGAAGTGCTATTGTTGTGACTCAACCTGACGGTAATATAATTGAGAAAGGAGTTAGAATTAACAACTGGGCATCCACTCTATAAACAGAATTAGTTGCCATACTCACAGCTATCAAATTTATTGAAACCACTGTTACTGACAGTCTCATCATCACTGACTCTCTATCCTCACTACTTGCCCTTGGCACCCTCGACTCAGGTTGTCACGCTCTTGTCTCTGAAGCCAGACACAAATATGCGTGCCTTGTTGACCGGGGTGTCAAGGTCAAACTGTTGTGGATTCCCTCTCACATAGGCCTCATAAAACATCACAGAGTTGATGCCCTCGCCAAACTCGCGTCTAACAAAGACACCGTTGAATACAATTTGGGTCTGTCAAAAAGAACCCTTAAAACTGTAATTAGGAAAAACTTATTGATGAGTTTGACGCAAGTAGACTAGTGCAAACAGGCACTAGTCGATACATAGTTTACCATGATGAGATGTATCAAGTGAAACATGTATATGGAGCAAGTAACAAGATCACTAGATTACAAGATGTTGTAACCGCTAGATTAAGGTTAGGATATAAGTACCTTTGGCAGTATGTTCCTCAAGCAGATGTAAACAAAACTAATGTAAAGTGTGTGGCCATACATATGCCACACACTTGAACACTACGTCCTCGACTGTGTGAAGATAGAACCTTTAGAAAGGTCCAAGCACACTGTGTGTGAAATGGCACAACACTTCATCTCTAATGGCAAGATAGCCGACATATTAAGATTGTATCCACTTTTTTGCACTTAGTAACTATATCAGTTCTCATGTACAGAACCAAATACGCAATGTGCTTGAATACCTCCCACGTAAATGTGAATAACAAAGTGTGAGGCCAGACATACTGCCTCACACGCCTGTACTCACGCATTTGTGAATAAGTTACCCTTTATGAATAGAACTAAAAAAATAATGTAATTGAAATACTGTGTAACATTCAGTGCCATAATATCCTGACAACGGGGGTTAATTATTATGACCCTTTGTAAACTCTACTTTGTTATCCTTTTGCGCTACCGTTCACAGGAAGAGTGTGGGGTGCACAATAAAGTAGCCTCGGTAAGCGGTGAAATCAAAATCAATCCTACCATACATGTTACTGTCTCCTACCACAACTATCACTATCTACCACAACTATCACTATCTACCACAACTATCACTATCTACCACAACTATCACTATCTACCACAACTATCACTATCTACTACAACTATCACTATCTACTACAACTATCACTATCTACTACAACTATCACTATCTACCACAACTATCACTATCTACTACAACTATCACTATCTACTACAACTATCACTATCTACCACAACTATCACTACCTACCACAACTATCACTATCTACTACTACAACTATCACTATCTACTACAACTATCACTATCTACTACAACTATCACTATCTACCACAACTATCACTATCTACCACAACTCTCACTATCTACTACAACTATCACTATCTACCACATCTATCACTATCTACCACAACTATCACTATCTACCACAACTCTCACTATCTACCACAACTATCACTATCTACCACAACTATCACTATCTACTACAACTATCACTATCTACTACAACTATCACTATCTACTACAACTATCACTATCTACTACAACTATCACTATCTACTACAACTATCACTATCTACTACAACTATCACTATCTACTACTACAACTATCACTATCTACTACAACTATCACTATCTACTACAACTATCACTATCTACTACAACTATCACAACCTACTACAACTATCACTATCTACTACAACTATCACTATCTACTACAACTATCACTATCTGCTACTACAACTATCACTATCTACTACAACTATCACTATCTACTACAACTATCACTATCTACTACAACTATCACTATCTACTACAACTATCACAACCTACTACAACAACTTACGTAAGAGTTGTGGACGAAGAAGAAGAAGTGAGAATACAGTTCAGTGCAGAAGTCTTGGCCCACAGTGTCGTCTCCCATAGTCGACCATAAGTCCATATTGTTGGTCATATCGCTGATCTGTTGAACGATACTAGAGTTAACAAGTACAGCATAGTATGACGTGTTAATATGTTTGATAATATAATATGTATATTAATCATGAGTTAACAAGTACAGCATAGTATGACGTGCTAATATGCTTGATAACATAATATGTATATTAATCATGAGTTAACAAGTACAGCATAGGATGATGTGTTAATATGTTTGATAACATAATATGTATATTAATCATGAGTTAACAAGTACAGCATAGTATAGTAACATATGTTTGATAATATAATATGTAATGGTCGCTGATTTAACAAGTCTGACATAGTATGGCGTGTTAATATATTTGATAATATAATATGTATAATAATCATGAGTTAACAAGTACAGCATAGTATAGCGTGTTAATATGCTTGATAACTATATATGTATATTAATCATGAGTTAACAAGTACAGCATAGTATATGGCGTGTTAATATGTTTGATAATATAATATATATTAATCATGGGTTAAACAAGTACCGTATAATGACGTGTTAATATGTTTGATAATATAATATGTATATTAATCATGAGTTAACAAGTACAGCATAGTATGATGTGTTAATATGTTTGATAACATAATATGTATATTAATCATGAGTTAACAAGTACAGCATAGTATGATGTGTTAATATGCTTGATAACATAATATGTATATTAATCATGAGTTAACAAATACAGCATAGTATGACGTGTTAATATGTTTGATAACATAATATGTATATTAATCATGAGTTAACAAGTACAGCATAGTATGACGTGTTAATATGCTTGATAACATAATATGTATATTAATCATGAGTTAACAAGTACAGCATAGTATGATGTGTTAATATGCTTGATAACATAATATGTATATTAATCATGAGTTAACAAGTACAGCATAGTATGATGTGTTAATATGCTTGATAATATAATATGTATATTAATCATGAGTTAACAAGTACAGCATAGTATGACGTGTTAATATGCTTGATAACATAATATGTATATTAATCATGAGTTAACAAGTACAGCATAGTATGATGTGTTAATATGTTTGATAACATAATATGTATATTAATCATGAGTTAACAAGTACAGCATAGTATGACGTGTTAATATGCTTGATAACATAATATGTATATTAATCATGAGTTAACAAGTACAGCATAGTATGACGTGTTAATATGTTTGATAATATAATATGTATATTAATCATGAGTTAACAAGTACAGCATAGTATGACGTGTTAATATGTTTGATAATATAATATGTATATTAATCATGGATTTTAACAAGTACAGCATAGTATGGCCGTGTTAATATGCTTGATAGCATAATATGTATATTAATCATGAGTTAACAAATGCAATATAGTATGGCTGATGTTGTATATGATAATATAATATGTATATTAATCATGAGTTAACAAATACAGCATAGTATGATGTGTTAATATGTTTGATAATATAATATGTATATTAATCATGAGTTAACAAATACACAACATAGTATGGCGTGTTAATATATGCTTGATAACATAATATGTATATTAATCATGAGTTAACAGAGTACAGCATAGTATGGCGTGTTAATATGTTTGATAACATAATATGTGTATATTAATCATGAGTTAACAAATTACAGCATAGTATGGCGTGTTAATATATGTTTGATAATATAATATGTATAATAATCATGAGTTAACAAATACAGCATAGTATAATGATGTTAATATGTTTGATAATATAATATGTATATTAATCATGAGTTAACAAGTACAGCATAGTATGACGTGTTAATATGTTTGATAATATAATATGTATATTAATCATGAGTTAACAAATACAGCATAGTATGACGTGTTAATATGTTTGATAATATAATATGTATATTAATCATGAGTTAACAAGTACAGCATAGTATGATGTGTTAATATGTTTGATAATATAATATGTATATTAATCATGAGTTAACAAGTACAGCATAGTATGATGTGTTAATATGTTTGATAACATAATATGTATATTAATCATGAGTTAACAAGTACAGCATAGTATGACGTGTTAATATGTTTGATAACATAATATGTATATTAATCATGAGTTAACAAATACAGCATAGTATGACGTGTTAATATGTTTGATAATATAATATGTATATTAATCATGAGTTAACAAGTACAGCATAGGATGATGTGTTAATATGTTTGATAACATAATATGTATATTAATCATGAGTTAACAAGTACAGCATAGTATGACGTGTTAATATGTTTGATAATATAATATGTATATTATTCATGAGTTAACAAGTACAGCATAGTATGACGTGTTAATATGTTTGATAATATAATATGTATATTAATCATGAGTTAACAAGTACAGCATAGGATGATGTGTTAATATGCTTGATAATATAATATGTATATTAATCATGAGTTAACAAGTACAGCATAGTATGATGTGTTAATATGCTTGATAACATAATATGTATATTAATCATGAGTTAACAAGTACAGCATAGTATGACGTGTTAATATGCTTGATAACATAATATGTATATTAATCATGAGTTGACAAGTACAGCATAGTATGACGTGTTAATATGCTTGATAATATAATATGTATATTAATCATGAGTTAACAAATACAGCATAGTATGATGTGTTAATATGCTTGATAATATAATATATATTAATCATGAGTTAACAAATACAGCATAGTATGATGTGTTAATATGTTTGATAATATAATATGTATATTAATCATGAGTTAACAAGTACAGCATAGTATGACGTGTTAATATGCTTGATAACATAATATGTATATTAATCATGAGTTAACAAGTACAGCATAGTATGACGTGTTAATATGTTTGATAATATAATATGTATATTAATCATGAGTTAACAAGTACAGCATAGTATGACGTGTTAATATGTTTGATAATATAATATGTATATTAATCATGAGTTAACAAGCATAGTATGACGTGTTAATATGCTTGATAATATAATATTGTATATTAATCATGAGTTAACAAGTACAGCATAGTATGATGTTAATATGTTTGATAATATAATATGTATATTAATCATGAGTTAACAAGTACAGCATAGTATGACGTGTTTAATATGCTTGATAATATAATATGTATATTAATCATGAGTTAACAAGTACAGCATAGTATGACGTGTTAATATGTTTGATAACATAATATGTATATTAATCATGAGTTAACAAGTACAGCATAGTATGACGTGTTAATATGCTTGATAATATAATATGTATATTAATCATGAGTTAACAAGTACATAGTATGACGTGTTAATATGTTTGATAATATAATATGTATATTAATCATGAGTTAACAGTTAGTATATGACGTGTTAATATGTTTGATAATATAATATGTATATTAATCATGAGTTAACAAGTACAGCATAGTATGACGTGTTAATATGTTTGATAATATAATATGTATATTAATCATGAGTTAACAAGTACAGCATAGTATGACGTGTTAATATGTTTGATAATATAATATGTATATTAATCATGAGTTAACAAGTACAGCATAGGATGATGTGTTAATATGTTTGATAACATAATATGTATATTAATCATGAGTTAACAAGTAATATAGTATGACGTGTTAATATGTTTGATAATATAATATGTATATTAATCATGAGTTAACAAGTACATAGATGATGTTAATATGTTTGATAATATAATATGTATATTAATCATGAGTTAACAAGTACAGCATAGTATGACGTGTTAATATGTTTGATAACATAATATGTATATTAATCATGAGTTAACAAGTAATAGCATAGGATGATGTGTTAATTAATCCTGAAGCATCAGTAGATGATGGTGAGTTGACTTCCGTGTAAGACGAGCCTCTTATGTTTACTGACTAGTGTTGTTCCAGTGGTTGTGGTGAGACATACAGGACTCAGTGGTTGTGGTGAGACATACAGGACTCAGTGGTTGTGGTGAGACATACAGGACTCAGTGGTTGTGGAGACATACAGGACTCAGTGGTTGTGGTGAGACATACAGGACCTCGGTGTGGTTGTGGTGAGACATACAGGACTCAGTGGTTGTGGGTGGAGACATACAGGACTCAGTGGTTGTGGTGACACAGGACTCAGTGGTTGTGGTGAGACATACAGGACTCAGTGGTTGTGAGACATACAGGACTCAGTGGTTGTGAGACATACAGGACTCAGTGGTTGTGGTGAGACATACAGGACTCAGTGGTTGTGGTGAGACATACAGGACTCAGTGGTTGTGGTGAGACATACAGGACTCAGGGTTGTGGTGAGACATACAGGACTCAGTGGCTGTGGTGAGACATACAGGACTCAGTGGTTGTGGTGAGACACATGGGACTCAGTGGTTGTGGTGAGACATACAGGACTCAGTGGTTGTGGTGAGACATACAGGACTCAGTGGTTGTGGTGGGAACATACAGGACTCAGTGGTTGTGGTGAGACATACAGGACTCAGTGGTTGTGGTGAGACATACAGGACTCAGTGGCTGGTGAGACATACAGGACTCAGTGGCTGTGGTGAGACATACAGGACTCAGTGGCTGTGGTGAGACATGGGACCCAGTGGTTGTGGTGAGACATACAGGACTCAGTGGTTGTGGTGAGACATACAGGACTCAGTGGTTGTGGTGAGACATACAGGACTCAGTGGCTGTGGTGAGACATACAGGACTCAGTGGCTGTGGTGAGACACACAGGACTCAGTGGTTGTGGTGAGACATACAGGACTCAGTGGTTGAGACATACAGGACTCAGTGGTTGTGGTGGGGAACTGGACTCAGTGTTGGACTCAGTGGTTGTGGTGAGACATACAGGACTCAGTGGTTGTGGTGAGACATACAGGACTCAGTGGTTATGGTGAACATACAGGACTCAGTGGTTGTGGTGAGACATACAGGACTCAGTGGTTGTGGTGAGACATACAGAACTCAGTGGCTGTGGTGAGACATACAGGACTCAGTGGTTGTGGTGAGACATACAGGGACTCAGTGGCTGTGGTGAGACATACAGGACTCAGTGGCTGTGGTGAGACATACAGGACTCCAGTGGTTGTGGTGAGACATACAGGACTCAGTGGTTGTGGTGGGACATACAAGGACTCAGTGGTTGTGGTGAAACATACAGGACTCAGTGGCTGTGGTGAGACATACAGGACTCAGTGGTTGTGGTGTGAGACATAGGAACTCAGTGGTTGTGGTGGGGAACATGGAACTCAGTGGTTGTGGTGAGACATAAGGACTCAGTGGCTGTGGTGGGGCATAAGGACCAGTTGGAACATCGGAATCAGTGGTTGTGGTGAGAGACACATAAAGGACTCAGTGGTTGTGACGGGCATAAGGAACTCAGTGGCTGTGGTGAGACATACAGGACTCAGTGGCTGTGGACAGGACTCAGTGGTTGTGGTGAGAGACATAAAGGACTCAGTTTGTGGTGAGACATACAGGATTCAGTGGTTGTGTTGAGACATACAGGACTCAGTGGTTGTGGTGAGACATACAGGACTCAGTGGTTATGGTGGAGACATACAGGACTCGTGGCTGTGGTGAGACATACAGGACTCAGTGGTTGTGGTGAGACATAGGACTCAGTGGTTGTGGTGAGACATAAAGGACCCAGTGGTTGTGGTGAGACATACAGGACTCCAGGTTGTGGTGAGACATACAGGACCCAGTGGTTGTGGTGAGACACAGGACCCAGGCTGTGGTGAGACATACAGGACCCAGTGGCTGTGGTGAGACATAAAGGACCCAGTGGCTGTGGTGGAGAGATACAGGACTCAGTGGCTGTGGTGAGACAACAGGACCAGTGGCTGTGGTGAGACATACAGGACTCAGTGGCTGTGTGAGACACAGGACCCAGTGGTTGTGGTGAGACAGACCAGTGGTGGGTGAGACATACAGGACTCAGTGGTTGTGGTGAGACATACAGGACTCAGTGGTTTGTTCTCACTTACCTCCTTGGTACAGCGGTTCTGACACTGGTTGTGGCTCTGACAATCTGTTATGTTGACAGCTGGCAGCTCCAGCACCATCATCTCTGTGTCTCGGGAAGACACAAGGGGCGCAGCGACAGTAAGCTGGTTCATCCTGGGTCCTGGTAACGGTGGTGTATGGTGCAACTTTAGGACCACTAGACCACTTTATAACTGATCCATCAGGCAGGACCACCAGACCACTTACAATCGATCCATCTGGCAGGGACCACTAGACCACTTATAACCGATCCATCTGGCAGGACCACCAGGACCACTTATACCGATCCACTGCGGCAGGGACCACAAGGACCACTTATAACCGATCCATCTGGCAGGGACCATCAGGACCACTTATAACCGATCCACTGGCAGGGATCACCAGGACCACTTATAACCGATCCATCAGGCAGGGACCACCAGGACCACTATAACTGGATCCACTGTGGCAGGACCACTAGGACCACTTATAACTGATCCACTGTAGTAGGACCACTAGGACCACTTATAACCGATCCACTGTGGCAGGACCACCAGACCACTTATAACCGATCCACCGTGGTAGGACCACCAGGACCACTTATAATCATTGGCAGGGACACCAGACCACTTATAAATCGATCCACCGGCAGGGACCACTAGACCACTTATAACTGATCCATCAGGCAGGACCACAAGGACCACTTATAACTGATCCACCGTGTAGGGACCATCAGGACCACTTATAACTGATCCACTGTAGTAGGGACCACCAGGACCACTTATAACCGATCCACTGTAGAGGACCACTCAGACCATTATAACCGATCCACTGTGGTAGGACCACTAGGACACTTATAACCGATCCACTGTAGTAGGACCACTAGGACACTTATAACCGATCCACTGTAGTAGGACCACTAGACCACCATAACTGATCCACTGGTAGACTATTAGGACCACTTATAACTGATCCATCAGAGACCCAGGCGCCTTTATAAATTGACCAACGCAGGACTACTAGACCACTTATATAACTGATCCACTGCGGTGACTACCAGGACCACTTATAACCGATCCACTGTAGCAGGGACCACTAGGACCACTTATACCGATCCACTGGGCAGGACCACTAGGACCACTTATATACTGATCCATTGTGGCAGGGACCACTAGACCACTTATACCGATCCACCGTGGCAGGACAACTAGACCACTTATAACCGATCCACTGTGGTAGGGGATCACTAGACTACTTATAACCGATCCACTGTAGTAGGGACCACTAGGACCACTTATAACTGATCCACTGGGCAGGACCACTAGACCACATATAACTGATCCACAGTAGGGACCACAGGACCATCATAACTGATCCACTGTGCAGGGACATCACAGACCACTTATAACTGATCCACTGGGGAAACCATTGTAACCAAACGGAATTACCATTGCAGCAGGGACCACAAGGACCACTTATAACTGATCCACTGTAGAGGACCACCAGACCACTTATAACTGATCCATCTGGCAGGGATCACTAGACCACTTTGACCGATCCATCTGGCAGGGACCACCAGACCACTTATAACTGATCCACTGTGGCAGGAATCACTAGGACCACTTATAACCGATCCACTGCGGCAGGACCACAGGACCACTCTATAACCGATCCACTGCGGTAGGGACCACTAGACCACTTTATAACTGATCCATCAGGGAACACTAGGACCACTTATAACCGATCCATCAGGCAGGGACCACCAGACCACTTATAACTGATCCACTGTAGTAGGGACCACTAGGACCACTTATAACCGATCCACTGCAGAGGACCACAGGACCACTTATAACTGGATCCACTGTGTGGGAACTCACCAGGACCACTTATAACCGATCCACTGTAGTAATCACTAGGACCACTTATAACCGATCCACCGTAGGGACCACTAGACCACTTCTATAACCGATCCACTGTAGTAGGGACCACTGAAATCTCACTCTATAACCGATCCACTGGTGTAGGACCACCAGGACCACTTATAACCGATCCACTGTAGGGGACCACTAGGATCACTTATAACTGATCCACGTAGGAATCCACCAGGCCACTTCTATAACCGATCCACTGTGGCAGGACCACTAGGACCACTTATAACCGATCCACTGTGCAGACCACCAGACCACTTGTAACTGATCCACTGTATAATCACTAGACCACTTATAACCGATCCATCTGGCAGGGACCACTCAGGACCACTTATAACCGATCCACTGTGCAGGACCACTAGGACCACTTTCTATAACCGATCCACTGTAGTAGGGACCACTAGGCCACTCTATAACCGATCCACCGTGCAGGGACCACTAGACCACTCATCTGATCCACTGTAGGATCACTAGGACCACTTATAACTCGATCCACCTGTGGCAGGGACCACCTAGACCACTTATAACTGATCCACTGTAGTAGGACCACTAGACCACCTATAACTGATCCATCGTGGCAGGACCACTAGACCACTTATAACCGATCCACTGTGGCAGGGACCACTAGGACCACCTATAACCGATCCACCGTAGGACCACTAGGACTACTCTATAACCGATCCACTGTGAGGGATCACTAGGACCACTTATAACCGATCCACTGCAGGACCAGGACCACTATAACCGATCCACTGTGGCAGGACCACTCAGGACCACATATAACTGATCCACTGCAGACCACAAGGACCAATTCTATAACGGATCCACTGTGGCAGGACCACTAGACCACTTCATAACTGATCCACTGTGTAGGACTAGACCATAACTTACCCACTGAGGGACCACAAGGACCACTTTATAACCATCCGTATAGGGACCACTAGGACCACTAATAACCGATCCACTGTAGAGGGACCACTAGGACCACTTTGTAACTGATCCACTGCAGGGGACCACTAGGACCACTTATAACTGATCCACCGTAGAATTCACCTGGACCACTTATAACCGATCCACTGCAGCAGGGGATCACTAGGACCATTATAACGACCAGGTAGAATGACATTATAACTGATCCATGAGCAGGGACCACTAGGACCACTTATAACTGTTGGGTGATCACTTATAACCGATCCACTGTGTAGGACCACTAGACCACTTATAACCGATCCACCTGCAGGACCACAGACCACTTATAACTGATCCACTGTGGTAGGATCACTAGGACCACTTATAACCGATCCACTGCAGGACCACTAGACCACTTATAACTGATCCGTGTCACTTGTACAGGGACCACCAGGACCACTTCATAACTGATCCACCGTGCAGGGACCACTAGGACCACCTATAACTGATCCACCGTAGTATGACTAGGACCACTATAACTTATCCACCGATAATTAGAGACCACCACATCACTGTAGAATCAATTCCACTTATAACCGATCCACTGTGTCAGGATCACCAGGACCACTTATTATAACCGATCCATCAGCAGGGACCATTAGACCACTTTATAACTGATCCACTGTGTAGGATCACCAGGACCACTTATAACCGATCCACTGGGGTCAGACCACTTATAACTGATCCACTGTGACTACTAGGATCACCATAACCGATCCACTGCACCAGACCACTTATAACCGATCCACTGTAGGGACACTAGGATTTATAACCGATCTCTGTGAATTAGGACCACTTTAATGATCCATGGTAGTAATTCACTAGGACCACTTATAACCGATCCACTGTAGGGGTAATCACAGACCACTTTTTATAACTGATCCACTGTAAGTAGGAACAGCGACCACTTATAACCGATCCACTGTGCAGGACCATCTGACCACTTATAACCGATCCACTGGCAGGAATCACTAGGACCACTTAATAACCGATCCACTTGTTCTGGGACCATTAGACCACTTATAACCGATCCACCGCAGGATCAGACCACTTATAACCGATCCACTGTAGGACCACCAGGACCACTCTATGACCGATCCACTGCAGTGTACTGGACCAATAACTGATCCACTGGTAGGACCACTAGCACTTATAACTGATCAGTAGATCACTAACACTTATAACTGATCCACAGCAGAACCACTAGGACCACTTATAACTGATCCACTGCAGCGGACACTTAGAAATGACTCTGTAACGACATAACTGATCCACTGTGCAGGAATCACTAGGACCACTTATAACCGATCCACCGTAGCAGGACCACCAGGACCACTTATAACTTGATCGTTGCAGGACACTATAACCACTTTTAACTGATCCACTGCAGGGAACTACCGTACTCAGAATCTGGTAGGGACCACCAGGACCACTTATAACCGATCCACTTGCAGTAGGTACCACTAGGACCACTTATAACTGATCCATCGGCAGGACCACCAGACCACTTATAACCGATCCATCTGCAGGAATCACCAGGACCACTCTATAACCGATCAAAGGGACCACCAGGACCACTCTATAACCGATCCACTGCAGGACTACCACCTTTATAACCGATCCATGGGGTCCACTGGACCACTATAACCGATCCACTGTGGTAGGACCACTATGACCACTTATAACCGATCCACTGTAGGAATCACCAGACCACTTATAACTGATCCCCAGGCAGTAACTTTCGCGGTTTTCACCTCTATAACCGATCCACTGCGGTGAGTAATCACCAGATCACCTATAACCGATCCACTGTAGGACTACAAGGACCACTTTTTTATCGATCCACTGTGTAATCACTAGACCACTCTATATTGATCCAATTTGGAGGGACTAGGAACACTTATGACTGATCCACTGTAAGAAATAGTTCACTTATAACTGATCCATTGTAGGATCTCGCTTATTGATTCACTTGTGGGTGACTGCACTGTGTGTAATTGTATTGTAGTTTTGATATCTGGTAGGATTACTGTATAACTGATCCACGTGGCAGGACCACTAGACCACTATATTGATCCACTGTGTGAAACTAGACCACATATAACTGATCCACTGGGTGATCATGGCCACTTATAACTGATCCATGTGGCAGGGATCACTAGACTACTTATAACTGATCCACTGGTGTAATCACTATACCACTTATAACTGATCCACTGTAGCAGGAATACTAGGACACTTATAACCGA